CCATTCAGCCAAATTGGGAACACTGTCCTCAAATAGTTATGTTCCTAGGACAATGGGCCATCTACTTGAAACCCTAATACAGGGGAGACAGCCGAAAGCATGTGGGATTGTGGGGGATCGCCTTCTTGAGAATACCCTGAAATTAGGGGAGAGGCAGCCTAGCATATAAAACGGAACCTCAGGGGGACCACCTGCTTAAAAGCCCTAGAAAGTGGGAAGGCAGCCCAACCCTGCTACCAGAAATATTAGGCAGGGAAAAAGCTCTCGACTCAGGGGGAGATCTTATCAAAGGAAACCACCCTCAACCAGTACATCTTTGACAAATAATTTCCCGAATAAGGAGACTTTTGAGAGCTCAATCAAAGGAACCTGTACATGCGGACTGAACAGAGGAGCAAGGAACCCTGCTTCAATATCCACATACTCTCTTGAGGGACATCTTGCTCCACCTGGGCAGCTAGTCAAAGGGAAATGTCCTCAGACAGTTATCAACTTTGATGATGTAACAGGTGGGCCACCGAAAATATACTTGAGGCAGCCCAACCTGAGAAGCTGCTAAGAAGAGAGCAAGAAATCCTACTTAAAACCCAAAACCACTGGCGAGGGGCATCTTGCTACAATATTCATAAAAAGGGATAGCCATCAAAGAAAACTATCTTTCGGGAACCGAACCACACAGTGTAGGAGCTCAACTGTCATCCCTCGAAAGAGAGTCAAGTCTGGCCAGAACCAATTATTGGGAATGCATAAAACAACTCTCGAGAGCCAAACACACTGTTCAAACACTAGATTCCCTCAACAATCAGGCGAGAACAGAAACTGCCATGAATGTATCGCATTGAGCCTGTTCATGCATGTCGTCAGGTCCTCAAAGGGAGGCACGCACTAACTGAAACGTTTTGCAGAGTGTTTCTGAAGGCAAAAGAAGCTGATGATGTGCATTACAGGCACCCTCCTGTACTTCTGGGCACTCTGCTAATGACGTCACGGGCTGTGCGGGCCAATGATTTGGGCCCTGTCCCAAATTGCACCCTAAACCCTCGCGGTCTTCCTCTGAGTCTACATTTTCGTGACTTAATGCCGCTTTGACTGTCGGGTAGAAGTCTATTGCGGAGCTCACCTCAGTGCTGGCTCGGCAGTAGTGCACATCGAGGGTGCATAGAGGCTGCAAAGGGGGCGCTCGCGAGCACATTTCTGAAAGCTAAAAGGATGAAAGGGACACCCTAAGGTCTCGTGGACTTAATGGACAGGTGCACGTGGCGGCCATTGTAAGTCTACAAGACATGAAGTGTGCACATGAAGTGTGCCATTTGGGACAGGGCCTTGGAGTGTTTTCACACATGCTTCAGACACTGGACATGCTGACGGCATTCCCCAAAGTGTCCCCTAGGGGACGCAGTGTGGAGTTCCCTTAAAGGGAAGCACATTTCTGCCACATAAGAAAAAAATCATAACCAAAAATAAAAAAATCATGACTTTTATACTTTTATATTTGGTGTCATAATTTAAACTTTTATCTCAATGTCATAATTTATTTTTTATATTATCATTTTGACATTTTATCTCATAATTCTGATTTAATATGCCATAATATATGACTTTTATATTTCATAATTTTTTTATATATATATATCACAACAATGATTTACCAAAGCATGTTTTTTCATTTTTATCCTTCTTTCTCACATTCAAATTTGAATCGCAATTTTACATCCCGTTTAGTACCTTAATTCAAATTCAGTTAAAAATCTGGACTTTAATGGGAATTTAAAAGGCATTTTCAAATCTGAATGGCACACAACCTGGGATTTCTCCTGGCATTTAAATTGTCCTGCATATGATAATTTTGATTATTTTTTTGGGATTATTGTAGAACAAATCAAACAGTTCATAAAACAGCATGTTTATATGTTTTGTTCTTCTAAAGGGTGTCTAATCACACTGAGAGCAGTTTTTCCCATGTTTCTTGTAAATGACTGCCTATGAGTCATGCTGCTCAGGGTAAGAGACAGGGAATTATAGTCAAAGTGATTTCATGCCTGTGCTTGAGTCATTGTGTCCTTCACTCGTATAGAATTGAGTGTTCTAGTAAAGCTGCAATGCCTCATGGGCGTACAAAACCCCTAGCTGAACAGAAACCAGTGTAGTTCGCTGTTTTTGTTTCACATCTAAGATACTTAAATACTGTCTGTTTTTTTTAGATGACTTTGAATCTTTCTCATTATAGCAATGTTTAATGAAGTGAAATGTAAGATTTTAAGTAGACTACACAAATTATAAAGAGGAAACAACAATATTCACCATATCTACTGTATACCTATATGTCCTTCACATGCCATTCCACAAAATGGCATGTGAAGGCAGCCATTGACTTCCATGTTATGAAAAACAAACAAAAAACATGGGAGTCAATGGCTATCGTCAACTGTTTATTCTTCAAAATATCTTTTTTTTTGTGTTCAAAAGAAGGAAGAAACTCATGCAGGTTTGGAACAACTTGAGGATGAGTAAATGATGAGAGTTTTCATTTTTGGGTGAACTATCCCTTTAAGGTGCTATAGAAAGCAGATTGTGAGTCATCTGACATTTATCCAAACTGAGATACCTGACTAGGTTATCCAACCAATATACAACTGTAAATAGTAATTTATTTGTCCTATTTTCCAATCGAGTTTCTTTTAACATATAGGAAAATGTGCTGAGCTGCCAATTGCCAATGTACATACAGTATATATCCATCAACCATCTGCACCTGCACTGTGGATGTGATTCATTTAAATGACCACCAGGGGATAGCCTTGTGCCATGTCTACCTATAAAGTCTAAAATATTGCCGAACAACATCTCCCATGCACTAAAATATAGTAATATAATATATCACACAAGTAATGATGAGGAACAGACCTATATAGGAAGACCATAAATATAAAAAATATGCTGTTATATACCATTATGCAACCACGCACAAGGTCTTTTTTATGATTCTAATATATTCTTTTCCACCTATAGACTTGATTTAAAGGGAAAAAAATCAAACAACCTCAAGGGAAACAATCAATCATTCAAAATTCCTATATTCCCAGATAACATTCAAATGAAATTATATCAGTCTCTCTTATGACTTACTTCATTATATATTCTGACATTCATATTAGAGACAATCAGAGGTATTATGCAGCCTGCACAGTATGAGTTCTGGGTAAACCCTTAATTTATTTATTTAAACCCTAAACCCATTTCTTTCTATCTATCTATCTATCTATCTATCTATCTATCTATCTATCTATCTATCTATCTATCTATCATCTGAAT